TATATATATATATATATATATATATATATATATATATATATATCAGAGTGTAGAAGAACGAACAGTAAGATCTCGCGTTCAAAATGTTAATTTAAAAACAGTGCTCAATAAAAAAAAGTAGAGCCGTAAGTATTTATTTATTTATTGTGTACAACATCGAGATTCACCACCTGATGATACGTTTAAGAAAGGGTTTTCTTTTTTTGAGGTTGAAACAAAAATGTAGAATTTTGTAGTGGATATGTTCATGTTTCAATGTGACATAGCATAAGAAATACACAGACACACACACACAATATATATATATATATATATATATATATATATATATATATATATATATATATATATATTGCTTACATTATTTACATTATTAGAACTATTGTCCTCAGTTTCATTGTCAGATTCACAACGTTTCGGCCAGTGTATGCTCCGGTGTTTGAATTTTCGAACCGAACCCTTTATTTCGTCCGCTAGTTTGGATATTTCTAGTTCCACGTGCCATGCCTTTTCCATTTGTCTCTATTATTTCTCTTTAACTCAACTCTCCAAGTTTTGTTCACCACTGCTGTGGACTGGTTTTGAACTCAACTCTTTGTGTTTAGTCACTGGGACTCACCAACGTTTTTATTCAACGGCCAAAACGTTGTAAATATGGCAGTGAAGATGAATAATGTAAATAATGTAAGTAATTATAATACCACACCCCAGATATACCGAGACACACACACACACACGCACGCACACAACACACACACACACATATATATATATATATAAATATATATATATATATTTATATATATATATATATATATATATATAAATATATAGTGAAATAGATTGTCCAAAATTATCTAATATATGTTCTATCAAAATAACGTATAAACACAATATATATATATTATGTATAAACAGAAAGTATATATATAAAATATATATATATATATATATATATATATATATATATATATATGTATAACCAGAAATTATATATATATATATTATGTATAAACAGAAATTATATATATATATATATATATATATATATATATATATATTATGTATAAACAGAAATTATATATATATGTATATATATATTATGTATTTACAGAAATTATATATATATATATTATGTATAAACAGAAATTATATATATATATTATGTATAAACAGAAATTATATATTTATATATAATAGTATAAACAGAAATTATATATATATATATATATATATTATGTATAAACAGAAATTATATATATATATATATATTATGTATAAACAGAAATTATATATTTATATATAATTGTATAAACAGAAATTATATATATATATTATGTATAAACAGAAATCATATATATATATATATATATATATATATATATATATATATATATATATATATCCCTGTTATGCTATATCTCTATAGATACAATTTATTAAAGTAAATTCGCTGTTTTTTTTTAATTATAAAGTGATAATTATATTCATTGGCCTGATCGATCTAGATATTTCATAGAAAATATATTGTCATTGTTGACGTTAAGATACGTTTTGTGAGCAGACATGAGGTGAATCGAGAAAAATCGTCGAAGATTGTGAATTTAAAAATTCTAATTAGTACCTTGCTAACCAGACGTCAGATCAAATGCCGGTCTCAGTAGTGAAATACATCTTTGTATTCCTGTCAGCGAGCGTATCTTTTCTACGAAATTTCTATAACGTATAGAAAATGAATGAAATAATTTTCGATCTTAATCCATTTTATGATTGATTATATATATATATATATATATATATATATATATATATATATAAGATAATGAACAAATAGGAAACGTTTATTTAAATAAGGTTTTAATATTAAAAAATGAAATCTAGATAACAATAAAGGTAAATGACATTACAATCAATATTAACCTTTAAATTTCAATAGGGAATTGATGTTCTTGTTTATATAAAGAATAACGGGAGGTATATATCAGCTTGTATCGAAACCGGCCCGATTCGTCGCCAATCAAAGTACTTAACCTTGAGCCATCAACAATCCATTGAGAGAATCAGCTAATTTTATGTGTATTGTTTTCACGAATATGAAGGAATATTTTAAATTTGTAAATTTCTATATTATTATACTAACTTATTTATAAAATTATAAAGCATTATTAAATAGGTTAAGTAAAAATGTTTAAAATAAATAATGGATAAATAATAAAAATATCGAAAATAGAATTAAGATTATCATATATTAAGGTTAACTTAGAGAAGTAGGAATAAATTAGAATGTATTTTAGGTCTAGAGTTAAATTTCAAAGTAAAATTAAAACGAAATGTATAATACAAGAACAACTAGGATATATTGACGGTGGTTACAATGCTATATTTATAAACATAATACACTTAAGAGGATTCATTCGTAGATTAGAAATTTCTTTAGCAAGATTGTAAGCTTAATTCCTTTGTGTGTTTACAATTTATTGCCGTTTCGTATCTCCGATTCGACAGATTGTCCTTGTTCGAGTATTTAATTATTTGTATTTTCTCTTGTAGGCAGAAAAATCCCGGCTCGTTTAGAGACCTCGAGATTCTTGCTTGTTTTAGGATTTTCCATTTAACTTTGGGTGTTTTATCTTTGTCTTTTAATTCGCCAAAATATTTAGAAAGTGAAGTCGTGTTTCGTTTATCTACGTTATTAAAAGTTGAGATATGTTTATAAAAGCGCTTTTTGAAATCATTCATTGCATTCCCGATATAAATGCGTTCATATATATATATATATATATATATATATATATATATATATATATATATATATATCATTATTTTATTTTAATTTCCATTTCGTTTTTTTCCCAATTTATTTCTGTGTAATTAATTATAGGATCTCTTTGATTGTAAAATCGAGATTTGCTTTTGAAAACGATTTGTAGAATTTATTATTCTATAGGATTGGTAATATGGTTGTAGGTATCGTAAAATGAATTTGATTTCGTATCTCTCTTTGAAAATTAGAATTGATATTTGATTATGCGGTTAAATATACTTGGAAATGGAATATCGCTATTTTCTTTTCTAAGCTAATTAAATGTTCTGTTGTTTTAAGTTACTCTTGTGTTATATTTTTCTTTCGAGTTTGTTCATAGATTGGAGTGAATTTTTGTTGTTAAATGAGATTTTGGGTGAATAACTTCATTGATTCTAAACTCTAGAATCAATGCTGTTATTCGTGTTATTTAAGACTCCAGAGTATATTTATCTCCTTACAGCCTAATCACGTTGAAAAACCAGTGTTTACCGGCATTAAGCACCTTCGAGCTTGGTCAGTACCTAGATAGGTGACTGTTTGGGAATACGTGGCCTCTGAGCTTGGGTGTGTGGTTAGTGAAATGTGTAACGGCTCAAGATTAGAAGTCCAAGAGCCGTAATCCAATACCAGTCGGGTCCATTATATAAAAATAAAAAAAGTATGGATCCAACTTTTCTTCATAATTGGTAGGACTTATATGAATAAATAATCATTGGCTTAAAAAATTTTTACATTCTGAAAATAAATTCTGTCTTCAAATAACCTGCAAACTGTTGATAAACCGTAGAAAAAAATCTATCTATGTTCTTCTTTCAGTCCATTTCCTGCCTCCCCATATATATATATATATATATATATATATATATATATATATATATATATATATATATATATATATCGTCACCCACAGATAGACTGTTTTACTGTATCACAGCTCATCCGTGTGGCTAGACATCTGATTGCTTCAAGCCGGGATCGAAACTCAGTTTATTTGTCATCAGCCGGAGTATCTACCCTTAAGCTATTGGCGCACGGAAGTTAAATTTTAGCGTATTTCATTTAAACAACCACAGGAGTGACCAGGTGACCAAGAAGAGTCTTGCATTAGCGGCAGTAATAGTAATTGTTTAAAATTCTTGCTTTTTCTCCAGACAGCTAAACCGAATTGACTTTCGGGAGCATCATATATATATATATATATATATATATATATATATATATATATATATATATATATATATAAGGAATTCAGCCGATTTCACTATTTTATTTCAACCTATCGGTATCTTCAGGAGATTTCGGTCAATCGATTTCCGAAAGCGTTTTTAAAAGCAATTACTGAACGCATTATTTTCAAAATAAATAAATAAACGAACGAAGGTTAAATGACATGTATATACTTTCTTTTTCTATATGATCTCAAAAAGAACTTTTAGTGTGTATGCAACGCGTCATAATTTACGATCTCTCATCCAAAAGTTTTTTTTCTGGAAATGATATTAGAGCTAACTTTTCTTGCTGACAGACGTTGCAGATATTACTATGATTGTTGTAATCTTTATATATGTATACAAATGGGATATATATATATATATATATATATATATATATATATAATGAATAAATTCTAAAATAGTTCAATGAAATAATCGAATTAGAGTTCATAAATTTAAATATACTAAAACCGTAGACCTAAACAGATGAACTTGAGAGAACTGGTTTCCTTTTCCCCATACTTCCCTTAATCACTCAGTAGCCAGTATACAGTACCACCGAAATTTGTTGCATTGTAATGACGAAAGATGCCTTCCAAAACTTAAGCAGCGTATTAAGAATCAGAAAAAGAAACATTCGTTAGAAACAAAGAAAATAGTACTGAATTGTTATGTTATAATAATCCTCATATATGGTAGTGAATACTCGACTATCCATTAACAGACGAAGAAGAGATGTGAAGCAACAAAACGTGGTTCTACAGAAGGATTCTGATAAAATCAATGGACCGAACTTATATGCATGTGTCTTCCTATGAGTATAATTGCTGCATTTTGATTTTCTTGTTTGAATCCATTGTAATGTAATTATAGCCTTCGGTTCGATTGCTTTCGCATTAAGCAGGGACTTTTCTATTAGAAGATTGGCGTAACACGATCTTTCTGATTTTGACATGTGCGGTTGTCGTGCTAAATATAAGTTTTTTTTTCTTATCGTTAACTCACTATCACATACACACACATATTCTCTCTCTCTCTTTTTCTCTATCTATCTATCTATCTATCTATCTATCTATCTATCTATCTATCTATCTATCTATCTATCTCACAGTGCATCTCCCACTATCTATATACCATATATCTGTTAACTTTTTATCTCAATGTCTGTCTGTCACCCTCTCTCTTCCGGCGTCTCTCTCGCTATCTGTATAACATACATCTGCCTGTCTGTCTGTCTGTCTGTCTGTCTCTCTCTCTCTCTCTCTGTCTCTGTCTCTCGCAGCGCATCACCCACTGTCTATATAGCATTTGTCGGTCTGTCTCGCTTTCTCACGGTGCATCTCCCACTCTCTACATAGCATATATCTGTTAACTCTCTATCTCAATGTTTGTCTGTCAATCTCTCACTCTCCCTTCCAATGTCTCTCTCACTATCTATGAAGCAAACATCTGTTAACTGTCTGCCTCTCTCTCTCTTTCTCTCTGTCTCTCTCGCTCACGGTACCTCTATCGCTCTCTATATAGCATATATCTGTTAACTCTATCTCTATTTATATCTGTTACCCTCTCTCTCCTGGTGACTCTATCATACATCTGTTAACTCTCTGTCTGTCTTTCTGTCTGTCTGTCTCTCTTTCCCTCACGGTACCTCTCTTAGTATGTACATACTATATATATATCTGTTATGTCTTTATCTATTCGTGTCTGTCTGTCTTTCTTTCTGCATAAACACACACACACACACACACATATATATATATATATATATATATATATATATATATATATAATATATATATATATATTCTGCTGCCGATATACAAGATGAATGGTCAGCGTACCTACCTACATATATTTTTTTCTCTTTTGGCCGGTTCCATTCCCGATGGAATGCCTTCCCATTAGAGCAAATGAAATCATTTTAAACAAAACACTACGAAGCGTTCATATTTCGTGTTCATAAAAGACTTGACTCGTACAAGACACGATGAAAGTTTGAAAAAAGAAACATTAATTGACGATGAAAGAAAAGCTGAGAAAAAAGCAAGGCTGAAATAAGAAAAAGGAAAAAAAACACTTCAAATCATTCAAAGTAACAGTGGAAGGGGAAAAAAAAAGCTGTCCAATACGTAATACCCCAAGGGGTATCATCTAACAACGACTGTATTGAATTTAAGCGGAGAGGCTGTCAAATTATCTCCCTTGAGTCAGGGGGCGGCTTTTATGGTCGCGTTTCCGCGGGCGAAAATCCGAGAGAATTGAATCGTCGTCCAGTTCAGTTCGTAAACGAGCTGGTAGAAGGCTGGGCCCGGTTAAACATGGGGTGGGCTTACCAAAGCGATTTCAGGCAAGAGAGAATCGGTTCGGATACGATTTTCCGCCAGTTATGACAAAGTAGAATGTTTATTAAAATTAATGTGAATCGAAACCTTGTATCTTGTTTATAAATGTCTGGATTGTCTAAAAGATATTTATACGAAAAGTGAAAACGGTTAGCCGATTTCGCATCTTTTTCATCATGGTATTTTACGAAAGATTTGAATCACTTACTAATAATGGTAGAGCAGAGTTTCTCTAATTGGGTCGCCTGCAATATAACAGAAATTAAAATTTCTAAAACGCGGAGAATTCAATCACCCCACTGTCTTTCCAAATAAAGAATAGTATTTTACAGATAAAAAAATAACTTGTAGAAATAGGATCGCCAATTTCCTGATATTATATGACATGTTATAACCATTTATCTTATTTACTAAACAGTTGAATTTTATTTCATTTGATTTTTAAGAAATTCTTCTACTCGGTTTTTCGTTAAATATTAATATTTGGAGTGTCAGGATTCGATACAATAACAAAATATTGTTACGGGTTCGTTCGTAATTTGGCCATCTAGAATAATCATACGATTTTCTTTGAAAGAATAAAATTCAGTAGAAAAGACAACATAGTTTCAACAAACAAACTTTAATTTAAAATAACGACAACAATACAAGCAGTTGGTGATTGATTGGAAAGCAATGTCTTTTTGTTTGTTAACGTTCTGAAATAAAATATAAATTGTCTTTGTGTAGCATGTGAGCAACAATGAAATGTTGTTCTATGTGTGTTTTTATTTAAAAGTCAACATGTACGTGCATGGTTTATAGTAAAGAGGATAAAAGTGAACGTTAGAAATTGTTTCTTACTGTTGGCGGTGTTGCCGTAGTCTGAAGTTTGTCAACGCTGTCGCTTTTAGCATGACGTCGTGAAGATCAAAAGCGAGAGTTGCGTGGAGTTTGTTGACAGCTGTGAGTATCCTATTTGGGAACGGATTTGGTATATTTTTATATACGTTTTCATTACAAGATCGGCTCCAGAATTAAATTATTTATTTCTTCCTAATTTGCCCTAAAAAGCCACGTGGTATGTCTTCTACTAAGTCCGCGCGATATTTGGCCGGAATCTACCTAAAAATAATGATGACTAATAAGCAAACATTCTGATTTGTATTCAATGATTTTATTGGTGTGTATTTTCTTGAATGTGATTGGTTTATAAATATTGGTTTATAAAATATTGTATTTGATATTTTAGGGGACATGCGTTGACGTGTCATCAACATTATCAACATGCTATCAAATACATCCGTTACCCCGCATAAAATCAGGCATTTAATAAACAAATTTAGGTCGATTTAGGGTCGCTCATCTGTGGCCCCCAATGAGGGTTAACCTCAATCCACATAACTGATCTGTGTGATTACACTAGGATGTGCGGCCATCGATTATCATAATGATTTTATTTTTAATTAGTGGATTTAATATACTTCTTAATAGGAGATATTTCTTTTTAAATCGTTATGACGCCATGCAAGGCAGTAAAGCCTCAAACACACAAGGGGTTACCAGGTATGGAAGAATTAGGAATAGGAATATTATTAATAAGAGGGAAGAGCAAAAAGTAATCAAGAGGAGAGTAGACAGCGATTGACATTGCATTTAAATTTTTGCAGGTTAAAGTTGGCTGGAAAACATGGAGCCGGAAAGGAGTTACAGAAGCGAGAAGTCCGAGAAAGGAAACTATCATCATAGAATTTACGGTTACATCTATCGAGCTCAACGGTATGATGAAATCTCGACGACAGGTGCGATGGCTAAATTGTCGTCTAAATTGCGACAACATGAAAACACTGACATCGCATTTTAACAGATACATTTTATCAGCATTTCACAAAAATATGAAATGCTAAAGAGTAAATTTATTCTATAAAAATCATCATTGGCTTCAACCAAGGCCTCCAGACGATTTCGGAATCTCCTGCAATTGTTCTGGACAGTCTCTGTGTTTAAGTTGGTGAATGCTGCCATAATCTATACCTTCAGTTCATCTTTGGTGTTACAAGGGGCCTGTTTTGTCTCTCACTCAAATCCACCCCACACATAATAATCAATGGTGTTGCAGTCTAGGTAGATATGTGTCCACATGTAAAGAGTGATATAGTCGGAGAAATTGTCTGACAGAAATGATTAGGTTCCCTTGCTTGTGTGGCATGGTGCAGAGTCCTATTATCAGACATAGGATCTTCCAAAAGCCACCCTCTTTTTTCCAGGGCAGTACTACCTCCTCATGTCACTTGATGTAGGGCTCCGTGTTCGAAGATGAATTAAGGCGTAACGTTGCCATCAACAAATACTTATATATTGGTGCTTCCGGCGTGAATGCCAAGCAGAACAGCATGCCGTTTCCAAATTTCTGGCGCAGTGAATTGTGTCATGGTGCCCTTTTTCTCACAGACGGTGCCCAGTTGACCATACTATACTGTGCAGTTAAGAAAATAAAAAAAAAACGAACAATTAAATATATAAAATGGCGTCAATTTACCTATCGCACCACATATTTAAAAATGAAACAGTTGGTCGCTGTTGTAAACAAAGTATTGGTTAAGACACTGAAATAAAACACGTACAGCAATTTAAGCAAATGGGAAGTGTTTTAACAGAGGACGGAAAGTGCGACATTGAAATCTGAAGTTCCGCAGAGTTTGTGATTTGAAGAACTCCATTTTCGGTCTGAATTGGAATTTCGGGGCAAATTCGTCTTTTGGACGGAATTGGACCTATAGATTAAAATGATTTCAATGGATTCATTACTAGCATTAAATGTATCCAAGAACCATATATTTGTATCAGAGTTAAAGAGATGTTTTGAATTTTCATGGAGTTAATTGAAGAATTCAGGATTATTTCATCAGAATTATTATTCCTGTTTCATAAGCTGGGTCAGAGGTCCCATTAGTTTTGGGGCAGGAGGCCCAATTTATCTCAGCAAGAGCTTGCTTAAAATCCGCACGGAGTACAGTTTTTAAGCTAGTGAATAATAAACATATCATCCCCTTTACCTGAAAAAAAATTATTTGTATTAATTATTAAAAAATAAAAATTATAATAAAAATTATAAATATAAGCATATTAAAATTGATTTTAATGAATTCATTACTGGCATTAAACGTATCCAAGAATCATTATTATTATAATAATGGTAATACTGGAATAATACTTTCTATTAAAATAAGGGTAATACTGGCATAATATTTAATATAATAATACTTGTAATACTGGTATAATACTTATTATTATGATAAGGATGATACCGGTATAATACCTACTATTATAATAAGGGTAATACTGACATAATATTTAATATAATAATACTTGTAATACTGGTATAATACTTATTATTATGATAAGGGTGATACGGGTATAATACCTACTATTATAATAAGGGTAATACTGACATAATATTTAATATAATAATACTTGTAATACTGGTATAATACTTATTATTATGATAAAAATTGATACGGGTATAATACCTACTATTATAATAAGGGTAATACTGACATAATATTTAATATAACAATACTTATAATACTGGTATAATACTTATTATTATGATAAGGATGATACCGGTATAATACCTACTATTATAATAAGGGTAATACTGACATAATATTTAATATAATAATACTTGTAATACTGGTATAATACTTATTATTATGATAAGGATGATACCGGTATAATACCTACTATTATAATAAGGGTAATACTGACATAATATTTAATATAATAATACTTGTAATACTGGTATAATACTTATTATTATGATAAGGGTGATACGGGTATAATATCTACTATTATAATAAGGGTAATACTGACATAATATTTAATATAATAATACTTATAATACTGGTATAATACTTATTATTATGATAAGGATGATACCGGTATAATACCTACTATTATAATAAGGGTAATACTGACATAATATTTAATATAATAATACTTGTAATACTGGTATAATACTTATTATTATGATAAAGGGTGATACGGTATAATACCTACTATTATAATAAGGGTAATACTGACATAATATTTAATATAATAATACTTGTAATACTGGTATAATACTTATTATTATGATAAGCGTGATACCGGTATAATACCTACTATTATAATAAGGGTAATACTGACATAATATTTAATATAATAATACTTGTAATACTGGTATAATACTTATTATTATGATAAGGGTGATACAGGTATAATACCTACTATTATAATAAAGGGTAATACTGACATAATATTTAATATAATAATACTTGTAATACTGGTATAATACTTATTATTATGATAAGCGTGATACCGGTATAATACCTACTATTATAATAAGGGTAATACTGACATAATATTTAATATAATAATACTTGTAATACTGGTATAATACTTATTATTATGATAAGGGTGATACGGGTATAATACCTACTATTATAATAAGGGTAATACTGACATAATATTTAATATAATAATACTTGTAATACTGGTATAATACTTATTATTATGATAAGCGTGATACGGGTATAATACCTACTATTATAATAAGGGTAATACTGACATAATATTTAATATAATAATACTTGTAATACTGGTATAATAATAACTGTTATGATAAGGGTGATACTTGCATAATACCTACTATTATAATAAGGGTAATACTAGCAAAATATTTAATATAATAACATTTATAATACTAGTATAATAGTTACTGTTATAATGACAGTAATGAAGGTATAAGTCCTACTTTTGCAGCCTCCTGTATATTTTTTTTCATTCATTTTATACCATCATTATGAGTGTCTTCCCGTCCAGTTTCTGTCTGAATTTTCTTCCTGTATATTTTCCATCAATCGTATCTGGAGATTTTCGCTGAATACCCCAGTAACAACAAATCTACTCACTTGTAGAAGACTTGCCACGATTTTGTTGTTATTTCAATGGAATTGATATTGTTAAATCTTCTTCGAAAGTTTAATTTCTTCAGTCATTTTGCAACACCTTACCGTTCCACGTGCCCC